TTTTTTTTTAAAAAAAAAAAATTGCGCCTGTGCTTTTTTTATGGGTATAGACAAATTGTATCCCTAACAAGTGAGAAGGAAACTGTGGGGACTGAAGGAAAGACTGCAACTGCAGTTCGGGCAAAATGCAAAGTGCCGGCTGATGGATGGAGTCAAGAACAGGAGAGCCAATTCCCACTGTCAAAGAGAGTTAAGTATGCTCTGTTGTACAGGAGATTGGGCTTTGCCTTTACAAGTTTGACCGCCACAACACCAAACCAAGGGGAGTACACGCCACTCACTGTGGAAAGATCTGTTACAGCCACCTCCACCAGACCTAAATCTGTGGTGCAATACACACATCTCACAGCGATCCCTGGAGCAGCACGTTCACCCAGCTAGAGCATACACCAATGCCTGCAACAGGAGCTGGACCGCAGACCCAGCTCTGGGTCAAATTAACTCTAGAGATAACCAGATTCACTTTTGGATAAGCTGTGAGACGATGAGTCTGAAACCACAGTTATGGTCAGAGGTGAGGCAGCAGGTCTCCAGGCCACAGGCTGTGCTGGCTCTGAAGGATGGAGAGGCAGGTAAGCACAAGAAGTCCTACCATAACAAAAACACTTTCCTTTCGTGAACATAGAGCACTGAGAAGTTACTAGGAAGAATCACAAGAGACACATTAATTTAAAATATCTATTGAAATTACAAATTAAACTCTTCAATATGATTCAAAGTACAAAACACAACATTAAAAGGCATTCAACAGCTCTTTTTATACATCACAGTGTTAGTGGCACAAAATGTACTTACATTTCAAATACATCAACAGAACTATTTTTACACTGGTCAAATACATTATTTATACATACGCATGGCTCCTTCATGCTTATCCCTATACAAGTTTAAAATACATCCATGATAAAACAATTAAGAAAGGTTCAGTTATGTACCACGTACCTGTACCTAATGTTCCTGGAATTCTTATAAGAGAGATATACAAATCAAAGCGATAATGAAGACCACAGGGCTCTAAACACAAACAGCATGCCTTGTTTAGTATAAGTGCATTAGCAATTAAGCACTGACGCAGGCTTTTTGATGTCTTTAGTATCACTGTCATCAACAACGGCATTCTACCTGCTTTCCTCAGGACTTTAGATTATGCATGTGAAACGTACAAACTTTGTTTTTTTTAAAAAAACAAGCCTGCACAAAGTTTTATGCATGCTGCACCTCTCTGAGATGAGAACAGCCTGTGTTAAATACATTCATTCCTAAACAGTAAAAGACCTACAGGTGAAATGGACAAAATTCATTTTTATTTTCCTGCCCACAACAATTTTAAATCAAAAGCACTTAATCTTTTTCTGATCTATGAATATTTTATCTGGTCAGCTCCATAAACAATAGAGCTTTTCACTAATTTTGATTGTGTTCCCTGCATGTCAGCAGATCGACTGTAAACTAAGAGTTGATCCAGTCGGCTCTTATTTGGGATTTTGTCTAAAATTCATAAGCTGGAGTATTTGAGGAAAGATCATGCTGCTTGGTATGTGGGGGAAAGCATTCCAAATTCTTGGCATGCTAAAGTCAGTAGTAGGAGGTTTCAGGATTAATGCCAACATGAATAAAATTGAAATATTAACATAAAACTACAGTAAGCATTTATATATAATCCTTCATCATAGAATCTTGAAGAGCCTCAAAACCAATGAGTTTGCCCTCACAGCCCTCCTGTGAGGTAGGTAAACACTGGTCCATCCATTTAAAAGATGGTTAAATTGAGATGAAAGGAGATAAGTGACTTGTCCAACGTCATGTGGGGAAAACCCAATGCTACTGCCACTGAAGTGGGTGCAGGTTATGCTGCTGGTCTCTCTCAGGACTGACTTCAGCCCAACTAATGGATGGTAAGTCTAGGAAGATGCAAAGCCTCTGGAGTCTGGACTCCACACTCAGTCCCATGCTTGCTAGACAGGACACCACCCCAACAGAACATGCAAATGATATACTGTTACAAACTCCATTAAAAACAGCATTTAAGACAATGCAAAAAACCCTAAATAATAGCATAACCATAAAACTGCAACAGAAATCATGCAGTGAATCTTATTTTTCCCATGAAAAGCTACAAAGACAAAGCTGTTGTAATAGAATTTCATCTGAAAAGCAGCAGAGACAAACATTTGCTTTTCCATGGCAAGGGATTTAAATGTCAGAGTTTAAAATAATGTATTTACAATTCCATTTCAGGGTATTAAATGTCACACTATCAACATAAGCTGTAACATAAAAATGCTCTAACTCAATACATCACTGCCAGAAGTTGCTGCTTTGGAAACAAAACAGCATTAAAAAAATAATAGTAAAAAAAAAAAAATCCCCGAGAAGAATACAGATGCAAAGACATTTAGCAAACTTGAAAGGATTAGGTATTTGGTAAATATATGTAGGCATAAAGTCTATCCCAACAGCCAGGATGTGAAGCAAGAGATATGTCACAAAAACACCCAGTAGCAATTCAAGTATGTTGAGATCGGAGACAGAGATATGCTGACAGAAGCGCACAGTTTGCTGATTATATATAAGGTTACCTGCGAGCATCAATTACAAACTATCATTTTAAAACGTCTGTATTTGTAAAGGACTTCTTTTTCTTTCAAATCTGGAAATGCATTAATTTTGACATTGATTATTAACTGGCCACACAGTACCATGGAAAACTCAAGTTTCACTATATTGCCACATCAAGGCAGTCTCTAAGAAAGGCACAAGGAAAATAAAACCTCATACCAGGACGCTGCAGAACTGTTAACAGGCTACTGCACCTCCACTGTTTACTATCATCTCAGTAGTAGAGCTGGTCATTAAAGCCACTGCCCCACACAACAAAATCCCTTAGCATTCCCGGTTTGAAAATTAACAACCATGAAATCTTTATGTCCTTTTGTCCAGCTTTTTTTTTCTCCAATTCAATAGAACAACAGGGCCAAGGATGAAAGGACGTAGTTCAAGCTTACCTGTAGGAAGCTGTCCTTCACAGAAGGCTTTCCATTACTTCTGCACACTGAAGCTGTGACTACGACAACCCAGGTGCTCAGGTTAGAGCACCCCTGGGGAGATGGACTGAGCTGCTGTCAGAGCCAGAACGAGATAACCACTTCACTGCCTG